CGTACAGATAACCTGCATCTGCCCTGGCCGGATGAAATCTGGGGTCGGAATTAAAGGTTGAGCCAAGACGTTAGTAGAATTGAAGATTTAAGAAAGAGCATTTAGGAAGGACTGTCAGTCACACAGGCTGAAGGGTCAGCTCTTGGATTGGGAAAACGGGGACTTGGAGGAGGGGCAGGAATGACTCAGCCCTTGGATAATTGATAAGTGGGCTAATTTGCATGTGTGCGTTACCGCTGTTTAGTGGCCAAGAAGAAAAGCAGAGCTGTTACGGCCAAACATTTTCTTTCATGTAGTCCAGTAAGGACACAGTCTAGCTCTTGTAGCTACGGACCCTGTCTGCTGGGTACGTGAGAGTACAGGCTGGAGCCCTCGTTAGCCAGCAGAATGTTTGAACGATTGACTGATCAAATTAAGACTGGGCCACGTACCTCGGCTTGTCGACCGTGCTGCTGTGAGTTAAAAGCTGTGCGGCTGCCCGTGTGTAGTGCTGGTGCTTAGCAGTGCCGTGTCTAATCAGTATCTGGAAATTTTCTGACGACTGCCTTCGCTTTTGAAGGAATTCATCTCCTCCTCCGCACCGTGACGGTTGTGAGCCCCACGTGTGAGCTGTGCCGTGGGGTGTCCCTCGTCCCGGGTGTACTGTGGCTGCGGTGGTACTGCCTGGCTCTGTGCTGCTGCCCTGATGTCGCCCCCCGTCTGCGGTGGCCTCGCGCTGGGGCAGTGGAACAGCCAGACCTGAGCCCTGGCAGTGCAGCGAGGGGGATGTGAAGGGAGGGACCTGCGTCTGCCCAGGGGGAGAGTGGTGCCCCAAGAGGCTGCGGACCCTCAGAGGGGAGACTGGCCCTGCTGCTGCTGGCTTCCCTTCCCTTCCCACTGGTGGAATCCCTCTTAGAATCATTGAATCATCATAGAATGTTTTGGGTTGGAGCAGAGCTTTAGAGGCCATCCAGCCCAACCCCCCTGCAGGAGCAGGGACACCTTGAACCACATCAGGTTGCTCACAGCCCCGGCCAACCTGGCCTGGAATGTTCCCAGGGATGGGGCCTCCACCCCCTCGCGGGGCAACCCCTGCCAGGGTTTCACCACCCTCACTGGAAAGAATTTCTTCCTCAGATCCATTCTAAGCCTACCCTGGTTTAGTTTAAAGCCATCCCCCCTTGTCGTGTCCCAGCTGGCCCTGCTAAAAAGCTTGTCCCCCCCTTTCCTCTGGGCCCCCTTTAAGCCCTGACCGGCCGCACTCAGCTCTGCCCGCAGCCTTCTCTTCTCCAGGCTGACCACCCCCACCTCTCCCAGCCTGGCCCCATAGCAGAGGGGCTCCAGCCCTCGGAGCATTTTAGTAGCCCTCCCCTGGCCCCGCTCCAACAGCTCCATGCCCTCCTTGTGCCGAGGGCTCCAGAGCTGGACGCAGGGCTCCAGTGGCCGGCTCATGGCCAGCTTTTCACCCCCAGCACCCCCAAGCCCCTCTGGGCAGGGCTGCTCTCCATCGCTTCGTCCCCAGCCTGTGTGGGTACCAGGGGCTGCCCTGACCCAGGTGCAGGATCTTGCCCTTGACCTTGTTGAACCTCATGCGGTTCCCATGACCCCACCTCTCCAGCTTGGCCAGTTCCCTTCTCCCTGGCGTAATCCCCCTTCCCGCTGGTGCCGCTGTCCCCCTCTGCCAGCCTCCCCCAGAGGAGTTCCCCCAAACATTTCCCAGGTGCGTGTGGGCTGCGGGGCTGCGCCGGGCTGTCACTATTAAATGCGTCTCTTACTGCGTTGGGCAATTTTGGGTGAGAGTGAACACCAGGGTGGTGACTGACGTGCTGCTGTTCTGTGCTGCAGCTCAGCCCCCTGGGGGTGGCCCCCCACCCCCACCCCCCGCTGTC